GAGAGCCCTCGTCGCTACGGCTGGATGTTCCTCGAAGTGCTGCTCATATTGCGCCCCAGGAGAGGTATGGGAATAGCGGCATCGGTACCCTGTTGTTCCCCTACTCTCGGTGCGATCGAGACGGAGATGGACAGTTTTTTTTTGCGACTGGCCTTCTCTGTGGATGCAGGCTACTTTGGTTATGATGTTGACGATGAGGCGCTTCGCGATTCAGGGAAACTGGGGGGCTTGACCAGAAGGTAGCAGCGGACTTGCGTGTGGGGCGAAGATCAGAAGCATTGCCTGGCCTTCTGAAACAGGATTCGTTGTCGGTGTCGCCGCGGACGTCGTCTATTTGGGGCAAGCGTCGCTTGCTCAACAGCGGCCGCTGTTGGTTTGGGGTACAGGTTGCTGGTAGGCATCGTCCCCATAATGTCCGTTCCGTTCTGGACGTCCCAATTGCTCTTGCTGCCGATACACGTGCTGCTTCCTCATCCGCCCTCCGCATCCATGCCTCTTCCTTCTCACGGTTCCACGTGGCACCACCAGACGCACCTCCAACCATTACAAGGATCAGGGTCGGATGATTCGAAACATGTGCTACGCTGCTCGCTACTTCATGATGATACGCATGTAAAGCATCATATCGGCATCGGCGAAGGTCGAAGGATGATGAACGTTCTCTTCGTCCTCATCCTCCGTCCTCCGCCTCACTCTTCATTTTGCTCGTGTTCCCTCTCCTCCTCCTCCTCCTCCTCCTCCTCCTCCTCCTCCTCCTGAGTTACCCATGTCAACGATATAACGCAAACCATGCCAATAGTAATGGAAACCCGTATCGACAGTACTGGAAACACGTGGCGGCAATGATGCAAATTTCCCACGCACAATCAAGGATCCCACATAGGTATGCACTGCGCGCAATCGGCGGCGCAGCGAGAGCGGGGTGAGACAGCAGGCTGGCTAAGCAGGCCTAAAAGGAGGAGGAGGAGGAGGAGGAGGAGGAGGAGGAGGAGGAGGAGGAGGAGGAGGAGGAGGAGGAGGACGAGAGGGAGGGGGAAGAGGAGGAGGAGGGAGGAGGAGGAGGACGGAGAGGAGGAGGAGGAGGAGGAGAAGGAGGAGGAGGAGGACGGAGCAGGAGGAAGCGCATGCGCTGGAGCATCTCCGTCCACTCGCCTGAACCACATCGGCAGCCGCTCCTCCAGCAGCACGTCGACTGTTTGCTGGCCGTTGGCTGGCAGCGGAGGGCCAGCGCCAGAGTCGCGCACCAGGTCGGCCGAAACCTCGACCCGCCTCCGGGCGTAGCGGTGCGCCTGATGGCCGCCATTCTTGTACGCAGCCTGCGTCAAGCTGCGCCAGCCGTCTGCTGCGCCCGGGCATCGGCGCGACAACGCCGGGCCAGCTCCTGCTCAGCGAGGCGTATGGTTGACTCGTCAGTGCACCCTTGGCACCTGTCGTGAATCACGCCCACCAGCCGCTCCTTGACCAGCGGGCCGACGTCGGGCAGGTCGAGGCCGTAGACGATCGCCTTCATCTGGTACCTCCTTTGTATCAATTTGGCTCGGCCTCGGTGCCCTGGGTGGGCTCGCGCCGCCGTCTAAGCTTGCTGGAGCAGGCCGTGCACCGCGATCCACTGCACTGCATTGTGGCGGGCTCGTGACGGTTGCGGGATTCCCGCTCACACAAGGTCCTCAACGGGACCTCTTTAGTGCGTGGCCCCGCAGCCCGGCCAGTGTGCTTCCGCACCTCGGTCGGCCCAATACCGTGAATTCGCGCGAACTCGAACCACTCCGAGATCATCATGGCCATCGGTGCTGCGGAGTGCTTGCCCGCAGCCCAACTCCAGGGAAACGCTGGGTCTTCCAGCTGAGGTCCACAGGGGGCCTCGCACTCAAAGGCCTTGAAGCGCAAGGGCCGGGTGATCTGGCGCCCACCCCGCAGACCCTCCAGGCTAAGGAGCACGGGAGCATGCGGGTGGACTGGAGCCTCTGGCAGCACCCGCACAGCTGCCGCGCACGTCGCCAGCGCTTGCGGTATAACGAGATAGTCCAGCACGCACTCCGGCACGCCGTCCGCCGCCTGGGATTGAGGCGGCACCGCGTCCGCTGCCCGGTGAGCCTCGCAGCTGCCATCCCAGCATGTCGCACTTGCCCCCGCCACCACAACGCCGCGCGTGGCCCGCATGAATCCGGACGATTCCAACTCCTCCGGCGAGACATTCCAATCAGCTTGAATGACCCACACCCTGTCGAGGCCCAGGACCACCTTCACTAAGCTCCAGAGGAGGTCGACGTTGCCCTTAATTTAATGCATACGCCCATACGCCCGTCACCGCGTAGACGGAGAGGAGGGCTAGTCCACCAGGCAGGCCCACGTCGAGCACCGGGCCGACGACCCGATGCTTGTACCCGTCCAAGTGCATCAATTCGAGCGGCGTTGATGCCACCGCACGGTGGACCAGCGTGGCAACGCCGCCAGACAGATCTCTCTAGCGGCCCAGGCCCGGTAGACAGTGCCTTGCCCA